GCGTTCAGATCTTGCAACCACTGTTCTGTGACTTCTCAGAAAAAGCTATTTTACTTCAAGATCTAAACCTAATCATCAGTTTACAGTCTGGAAGATAAAAGTGTTTTAAGGCCCTAAAATGACACTATCATATCTGTGTTATATCATACGTGTCACATACCTAGCACACCTTAGGGAAATGATAAGATGGGAGGAAACTCTGGACTGCTCAAGACCACAAACTTTCTATCAGTAGACATTTCCAAACCAGAACTTTAGCGGAAGGAGAACCCCATCCAGAATTGAACCTGGAAATATATTTAGCTCATTAAGTTAGTGAAATTCTTACTTAACATACAGAATATTACTTTCCACTAGCCATAAAAGTTGGTCCTGAGGTAGAACTTTCAGTCTATTCCAAAGTGAGCAGATCAGACACCTATTACAGCAGAACTCACTTAAAAAGAGAGGAAATAAGCTGCTACAGGAGGGAACAAATCCTCCTCCAGGAAAGCAAACATGTTTGCTTCCAACCAGGAGGTGAGAGTCACCCTGTAATGGAGACTGCAGGCTCCTGGTTGGAAGAGATTAGTAACGGAGGCACACTGAGTAGGGAGAAGCAGCTTTGTGTAACTATACCAGTTAATTCATGGGGCCACATTCGTTGGTTCATCAAAAGAACTGAAAGCTAATTATGGTACAGGCAATAGAAAGACAGCTGATCTTGACACACATTCTCTCCAAACAACAAATGCTTACAGACTCTGCTGACAAAGAACAAGTGAAGGTAACCCAGGAGCTCTGTGTTTGAGCACAAAAAAATTGGGAAGTTGCACTTGCAGCTGAGATGCTACAGCCTAACCAGTAGGATGCTGGATACAAAGCAAGAGCCAGGAGTTAACCCAAGAATCAAAGAATCAGAGGGAAGAATGTTCCGTTATAAAGACCCAATCTTCAGTGTCTCCACTTTTGGACATTTCCTTTCTGTTTTGATCTGTCAGACAGCTGTCAAAAGAATGAGTAACTTCTGTACCTCTGAAATATCCGAAACAGGTGCTTGCAGCTGTTACAGACAGGTGACAGGCAGAATAATTTGAGAAGTCTTGTCTAGATTAGCTAGAAAAGGAATTGGCAAGACCACTTTAAGAAGATAAGACACATGTCCTCTTTGAAAGTTACAGTCCTGGCCATCATATGGAATTAAAAGTCTGTTCTTCCTTGTATTGGTGCAGCTCAGAGACAATGAAGTGTGTCTCTTGCTTGTACTCAAGGGACTTGGGTTTGTGTTAGTGACAGAAAAAGACCCCTCCTCCCCGAATCTTCCTGTGCCTCTCACCTCACTTTTGCTAAGAGCCAGGAGAACAACTCTATGGTCCGATGCTTCTCAGACAAGCACACCTTCTTGAAAAGCATAAAAGTAAAAGGCTTCCAAATGTAAATAAATGAGCGCTCTGTAGATCATACACAGAGCTTTCAGTTATGCTACTAGCATTGGTGGGTAAGCGGAGATAGGAACTGGATTTCTGTAAAGAGGGAAGGAACACGGTCTAGAGCTACACTGAAGCATTTCAAGACTTAGCCAGCACAGGGATCTGCTTTTGGCTCAGGACATGAGAAAAGCCCAAAGGAAAACAAGGCATGAACGCGTGCACCTAATGCAAATGAGAAACTGCCATCACTTGGGTGTTGAGGATGTGTTGTAATAGGGCTGGAGGTGAACCAGATTGGGCCTGCATACAGAATAAGCTCGAACTGGCACAGACCTTGGTATATCTAAACAAGCCAAGTTTTTTTGGAGTCTCAGCATACTAGATAGCATTTTCTTCACTATAGAAGAAAATCCTCTAGAGCGAAGTCTTTGGAGCAGTGTAGTGAATTGTACATTATCAAATGAGCTCCGTTCTTCCACTTTTCAGAGGCTGTCCCCTCAGTTGTGTCACAGAGAATCCCATCACAGACCACACTGTAGGGCTTACTCACGCTCGAGTGTCAGACTTGTCCAGGATTCGTGTTCCCCGGGAGCGCTGCTGGCGGTGGCTCCTAGAACACAAGCAAGGACTTAGCGAGGAGCGAGGTAGGGGGGGAGGAGCTGTTCCAACTGAGCAATGCAAGGCAAGCAGCAGGCGCTGGATCTCAACAAATATGGCTTCTGGGAGCTACAATCAGCAACTCCAGCTGGGCCATTTGCTTAGGCTTCCTGCCAAAAGATTTATAAAAAGAACAGTAAAGAATGTGCAATGGCTTTAAATATGAATTTCAAATACAGTGCAGCCAATATCCACATTTGTTGAGGCTTCCATCGCTCAGCTTTTCTCGAAGGCTCATCAAGGAATGCAAGGAGTTTCTCCTGCTGATCTAATTTTATCCTCTCAGAGATATCCACCAGCATGAAGGAATGAATTAGAGCCAGTGCAGTTTCCTAATTACTTCCAGCTCTGAGAGAGCAACCCAAAAGATACTAGGGAAGCAAGCATAACATAGCAAAGCTGATAAATCAGCCTTTAATTTGGGTGTTGCTATCATGGAGGTCTTGTGATAATTTACTAAGGGGTGATCCCAGCCTTTACTCAAACTAGTGCATGTCCTAACAGCACAGACATTTCTAGGAGTTTAACTGCAGCAGAGTACAGTGGCAAACAAGAATGGCTGCTACAAGGTAAGTGAAGTATGTGGGTGGTTTCCCCAGCAGACACACGAATGGGCTCCTCAAATGCCTGCAGTGACTATTTAACAAGATGCAACTTTCCATTACCTAGCAGGTTTTCCCTATTCTGTATCTGAGTCACGTTCGCATGACTGGAGGTGGGTTTATTCAAGTTGACATGAGAGCTGGGCCTGTCTGTACCAAAGCTGTACCAGCCACAAGGAGCTTCATCACCAAGGTTCAGCAGCCTTCCAAGCACAAAAACGAAATCCAATCACCAAAAGTTTTTGTCCTTGATATGACATACAGAACCTCACAGTGAATATCAAAAGTCACTTGCTCAATAAAGTTACACCAGAGTATAAAAATCCCACAGTGCCACCCTGTAAACGGGACAAGTGTGGTAGCTGAATCATTTATTTGATTCCTCAGTTAGTATAGATGTAAGTGTCCACTGCTTCTGCAGCCACCTGTATGAGATGGGGTACTGCAGCTAGAAATGCATCAGAACAATCACAGACTTCTGATCTAATTAATACAACAGGCCCTGTCTCCTCCTTCTGTCCTCACATCTGTATGAGACTCGGAGACAAGTGATAAAATGTGGAATCTGTTGGTTTTCTTTCTGCTTGGTTCCAGGGTACGTACCACACCTCTAGTAATACCACGACTGCTAAAATCAAAACACTCCCCCCTCTCCACACGCAACTCCCTTGACTAAACTGCAACGCTGAAGTGATAGTGTAAAGAGGCCCTGACGCAAATCCATGCCCCTCCATTAGACAAAGCTCCTCACTTTCATTTTAAGAACCAGGAATTACAGGTACCTTCAACCAACAGGAGAGGTTTGTCATCAGAGCTCTGCAGGGTCCTTGCAGCAGGGCAGGGCCCCTGCTCAGCATTCGTCCAGGTCTCGGGAAACTGGAGGCAGTCCTGCAAGACACTGAACATCTGCACACACTTATTTATGGCACAAATTCTACTCCAATCTCAGCATGTTGCTGCTTCACAGATATGCTAGAAAAGGTCAAGTTCAGGAACTAACAGTTTAACAATGAGCAGGCAAACAGAGGGCTTGGGAGGGCCAAAACCTTCTCCTACCCAAAGCTCACCAAGATTCATCCCCTAGAGAAATTTAAAAATATTCAATCTCTCATGGGACGTACAGTCATTCTAAGCCTCACAACAGTGCTCTTATAAACAGTTCCTGACATTGATCACGCCGTGAGGCAGCTAGTGAAAGAACCGTTTTTAAATACACAAAAATTAAAAAAAAAAAAAAAAAAAAAAATCAAGCCAGCCTGAAATTTCTCTGAACCCAGTGTTTTATTGCTTAGTGATTATTAGTTACACTTTGACACAATGTAATTTGGAATAAATTGGCACCTACTACATAATTTTAAAAACTTAGTATCTTACAGCTCATATAATTGGCACTATAGAGAAAACCCAGAGATCTGCCTTTTTGACCCAAGATTAAAAGAAAGATAAAATGTTTACATCCTTTATTGTTGGCAGGTGAACTTTTATTGTGGAAGGCCCTTAAAAATAGTGAACAGAAACTAATGACCTAAACGCCCTCCAAAAAATACATAAAAACATTATCAGATAAATGACTCCCTTCTTTACACCAGCCTTTTTGCTTTGGTACTTTTAGTATCCAAGTGCACAGTAACTCCTTCTTCTCTTTTAAGGAAAAAATGTAACACAGTTAAGTCTACAATGACTACTTTGAGTGACAAGAGAAGAGACTCCCACACACCATCCTCAGCACCCACGCAAACAGCATCTTCATCAAAAGTGACATTGCCTCAGGATTTAACACATCCCAAGAAGTTTATAAATACTAAAGAGTTGATTTAAAAAAAAATTTAAAAAAAAAAAAGAGCAATAATTATTTTGAATAAATAAATGACAGCTGCAATGGCTGCATTTGCTTTGGTGACCAGTTATCTATATGCAGCATAAGCTATCTTCATAAGGCAAATGATGAGATAGCATAAGCGAAGTCCCTGAGGATCAGCATCTCTGTGCTCAACATGTTTGTTTCACAGTGTGTGTAGTCAGCCTGGAATACAATTAGTCCCAAGACATCTGCTTTTTAATCTCCAAGCACAGCTGCAGACCACACAGTGAATTATTTCTGTACCTCTTCTGTAGGCAGGAATATGTAAATAAAACAGAATACTTAGTAGGTGGTGGAGGGGAATTAGTTCTCCTAAACCTGGACCAAGTGCTCCACCTTGTGTTAGTCCTTGGCATTCAAAGCGAACCTCTCGATGCTCGCTCAGTAACTGCAGGTCCAGCAGAAAAGCTTGGGATTCCTTCTGCCTGTGAACAAGTGTTGTCCATGGTGCCATATGATTGCTGCTCCTTATGGGCAAGCATTGTCCTTTCTGTAGAATGATGCAAAACTCGGGGGACGTACATCTGAAATCACAAGTGTTAAGGACCTTACTAGTCTCTCAAAGCATAACGCTGGGATAATTCACCCAAGGTATTTTTTCCCCTTGCCACTCTTCTTTTCATCCATCTCCCATTCTTCACCTTAACACCTAAGGCCTTTTGTTCCCTAACAGGCTTCCTGGTGCAACACTCACCTGCTCTTGCAGACTGTGGCACAAAGGCCTCTATTTCTACCTCAGTCCCACATCCTTCCTTGGTGACATGGCACCTGCTGCACATGTCACAACATTCAAAGTCACAAAGCATTGGCAACTGACTGCACGTGGCAGCTGTCCAGATGAGAGGTATTTGGTGTAAAGCCCAGAACACAGTGTACAGAGCTGCTGGGAGTAGCGTGTCTCAACTACTCCTAAAACGTCAGCCGAAGGTACTTCTGGAACACCACCTAGGAACAGTCAAGGAGCCCAGCTGCAGAACTCTCTGGTCCCACATATATATGGGAGGTCCCACAGTCCATTCAGACTACTATGTCCTATGCAAGCTCTTTGGTAAACAGGGTGAGAAATTAAGTTTTTCTAGGAAACGCAAGAGAATATGAGTAACTCTTAACTTCTTACAGAAGATGTTGGGATGGTTGGTACATCTGTGTCATTCCCTCTTTCACCTTGTGTGTCTTCTATCTGTAACCAATAACAGGGGAGAAAAGAGTGGGGAAAGGGAGAGAGACAATATCAAATTGGTAAGTCAAAACAATATACAGAGATCATAAACACCTGAACACCTGCACAGACAGATCTCTCTGCAGTGCTGGTACTCTCTCCTCCAATCCTCCTGCACACTTCTTCCATACAGCTCTTTCCTCTCAAATTCAGCTCCTGCTAACACCGACAGACATCCCCCTGTGCCAAGCAGCCTACCACTACTATCAGCCCTCTTTAGCCATCTTACCAGAATGAACCTTTGTGGACAGACGTTGTTAGCAAGAAGGCACAAACAGCCCAGTAGGAACAGCTGGTGCCACATCAAGCACATAGGTAGGTGCTGGGAGGTGTTGGGTATCCATCACTTACCTTGTAGTTCAGTGGGCTCAGGTACTTGAAACAGCCAAAACAAGTATAAGCCAAGCAAATAACAATTGTGATGTTGACAACTAGGAAGGTAAACATGGTTGTAGGTGCTTTAAAGCCTAGAAAAATACCGAGAATATAATATAAAAATACACAGCAGGAAAAAAAAACAAACAAAACCAAACAAACCTTCACTTTATCTTCCCCACTTTCAGAAGCCTTTTGGTTTTTTTTTCCTTAAGAGGACTGGGCACGCCACTTCCAGCCACAGAGAGAAGAACCTCATTATGCACAAAGCTCCTTGACTGGTAAAACTGCTGAGCGAGCTGTTTTCCCAGCTTCCTTAAAGGCCAAGAAAGGTGGCTGCAGTACTTGAGTGACAAACAAGACTCAGAGCGATTCTTCTCCTCCTCCCTCAGTCATCTATTCTGGACCCACTTCTAAAATACTTTCATTAATAATCTGTGAAACGTAATAGATAGAGTCCATTTATTAAATAGGATGATGGCACCAAACTGTATGGCTTGCAAACAATCCAAAGGAAAAAAAAAAAAAAAAGGAAAAAGAAAAAACCCACAAAATTACCTTGACAAATTAGACAACCCCAGTCTCTTTCAAGGAAAAAAAAACAAACCAAACCAAGACAAGACAAGACCAATGAATAAACTGTAAGATGAATTTATATGTAGGAAACTAAGTAACTACAATTTGGAAGGAAAAATTAAATGTAAATGTGAGGGATAACAAGCCTGTAGTACTGCAGAATATAACTGATGATTACAAGCTGGAAAGCAGTCAATAGTGTGATGCTATCACAAAACATGGGGAGGGGAAAAAAAAAAAAGGCAAGTGCCTGGTACCTACACAAAATACTTTGGTGCTACTGAACCTCCAATTTGAGCAGCTTTCTCTGTGTAGGACACCGCGATAAAATACAGACAGAACTGGGAAGAATCCAAGGAAAAGGAATAGGAGAAGAAACTTAGTAAACATGAACTAAGCTGAAAGATAAGTTTTTCTTCAGAAGAGAGCGAGTGCATGAGTGTGAGAGAGAGAGAATATGGATGAGAATATGAGAGAGAGGGAGATAGAGAAATATTACATTAATAAGATATTAGGGGGAAAAACCAACCAACCAACCAACCAACCACACACACACACACACACACCACTTAGCTGTTTTCAAGCTTCTTTAGTCAAGAGGCAACACCAGCCCTCAGATATTTTTGTGGTAACCCCAGCATATGCTGTGGCACAAAACAGACAAGTTTTAAGTTTTAGCAGGTTGTATAAGCCCTGCACAGATCTGTTCATGAGGGGAGAGAACTATACACATGCAAAAAAAAAAAAAAAAACCAAAACCAAGAAACCCCACAAACATGTCACTATTCAAACCAAAAAGGGAAGTGAAAAAAACCTCCCTATGGGTATTCTGGAATGTCCTTCAGAAGAGGTTGTTTTTATAAAAGTAGATTACATCAGTATTTACCAACTGGTGAGGAACATCTACACCAAAGCCAGTGTATGGTGCGAACCACGAGGCAAACAGCAGAGATCAGGGAAGAAGAAATCTCCAAAGATCATTTTTCCCTGTCCTCAGTGCTCCTCCCTGCCAACAGCTCTAGAGAACATGGGACTGCAGCGACTCTCCCAGGAGACAGGGGCTGAGCTGCAGAGAGTACCGTCACCGCCTCTGTTGCGAGAGGCCCAGCAGTGCTTCAGGTGTGTGAAGGGTGAGTGGATGGCACGAGAGCTGAGGAAGAAAACAGTGACTGAGAAGGAAATAGGTGACACCAGTACAGCCTATCACCTTCTGTATGCAGTCAACTGGTATTTGATCCTGAGAACTGGGAGAGGTTCTCGCAGCTTTACGTTAATATCATGAGTGAGGAAACAGAGTATTATCCCTGTACTCTGCAACCAGACCGAAATATCCACACCAGGCAAACTGTACAAATCAGTGACTAAGCAATCAAGCTTTACACAACATAAACTGATTTATTTTGCAGATAAGGAAGCATAGCACTGTTCTCCCCTCCTTCCTTCTCTTTGGCACAGGAAGCAGCAATGAAATCAATGGCCATAAAATCAAAATCCCAAGTTCCTAGCTCTGAGACTCACACCGCTTGGCTAGACTGCCCTGTGCACTGACAAATCACTGAACAACATCCCGTAAACAGGATCCTCTATACTGACAAAGCCAAACATGATAATCTAGCCTGTGTTTTCCATCACTAAATTCCATGACAAGTGATGGTTTTACCACAGATGTGGAACCAGAAAACATTATTATAAAGATTTAATTTTTACTACACCAGGATTTCCTTCGTAACAATTAAAGATGCGCAGCAACTGCTGCATGTTTGGAGTTGATTTTTCTAAAGCATACTCTAGAAGTTTTGCTGTTATTTTAGAGGACATAGATTTGTTGGTCTTTCTGGTTGCAAAGACAGCTCTCAAAACAAGGGAACAAACAAGCTCTCATACATACAAGTAACGCAGGGACATCTGCTCAAATCCAAGGACAGCCTGAAGCAATAGTTCCAAGTGCCTCTTACATCCACAGGGAGCTATCTCCAAAGTTAGATGGCAGTCAGCCAACATCATCTTTTTTACTACTGGTATGCTAGAAAAATACAGTGCAAGCATGGTCATTTGTCATCAGTGCTGTGAAAGCAAGTAAGAGGGCAAAATACAGTTCGATACCAAGGGTCTCCTTCCCAATAAGAGAAGCTCAACTCCTTCCAGCATCACTGGCATCCCTGTTCCATGCCAAATGTTCCCTCCTATATCACAGATAAAAAGCCATAAGCCATTGCCTACTTTTTCTGATGTCAAAGCTGTTAGTACACCACAGCCAATACTGTCAATGCCAAGTATTTGCAAAATACAGAACATCCCTATTTTTAAAATAAATTACACACAAAACATGAGGTTTTAAATTACAATATGTGGAGAAGAGTCACCATCTCACTGCAGTCTTCCATGTGAAGTTTGACAGATGATGTAGAACACAGGTCTTACCAGCATTAGCCAACATTTTAACATTTTTTTTCTAAATGACAGCTGTACAACAGAGGCAGTAGCCAATTCACGCAGGAAAATTAAACTTATGCAGAGACTACAAAAATGCAGGTAGTGAAGTCAGAGACCATCTTACTAGAAAGACCTAATTATGAATAGAGTTTTGTCTTATCTAAGGATTTTTACTCTATGTCACTCCACAGCTCAACCGGCCAATTCAAACTCTACAAATTTAGGGAACACATGATTTCCTGTAAAATGAAGAACTAAGAAGCTCCATGCTAAATGTTTTAAGTTAACATATCAGCCATCTCCTTCAGAGTGTTTTACGCAAACTTGTGTAAGCTGCAAACGTTGTATAATTCAGTGCCACTGGTAACCAACATGACTCACACTTATGGAAATAAAAAGAAAAGCCCACAGAAATCTATGAAACTTCACATGTAATTTAGGTAAGAGATTAGGCAAGAGAGTTGGGATCAGCTCCTAAATGGAAAAAGGTAATACTTACCTAGCCGCAAAAATGAGAAAAAGTAGAGCCAGAAAAGGCAGAGAATTGGAGCTGCAAGGGCCTGATTCACAGCTGCAAAGTGCATCTTCTTCTCCAGCTTGGCAGGGAGATATGCATAGTAAAGGTTATAACGGTCAACCATGTGCTTCAGGAGTATGTATATTAAACCTGGAAGGAAAAAAGGGAAAGCCAAGGAGACGTTGTTGAAGACTTGACAAAAATCAGCAATTCTGTGAGCAGATCTACACTAACCGAGTGACTGAAAACCTCGACAGCAGTGGTGGATACAGCCCAGATATGAACGGGGTACAGCTTCACGACAGCAGCCTGCTTCTAAGGCTGTTGCATCCGCAGCCCAAGACCCCCAGGGCCTCTCCATCCCTGCCCCTCTCCACACACTTCTCTGGCACCATTCCCGCTCCCAGAGAGAACCCAGAGCTTCTTCCTAGTGCTAGCACATGAGGCCAAGCCAGCAGGGAAGACTTGGTTACTCCTCCACCACCGCTACACCTCACTGGTAAGGAAGAAAGGTCTAACAGTGGCTTAATGCCTCCCTCTCAGCCCTCAAAAGATTCATGACTGGATTTTAAGTCAGCTATTTCTTATTCCCCTCCCCTCAAAAAAACCCAGTTACTGCTGTGACAGCAACGAATTACAACAGCTCTGGTATGCAGTAGCACATTCCGATATTTACAACTGCACACAAAACAAAATGTAAATAAATATCAAGTACATTGTTATAAAAAAATTGGCCACATTCTCCCAATAATAAGGTTGTTGATTAAAACCGGTTCTAAACAATATCTGATTTAGCTAATTATGTTGTATTTAGCGCTCTAAAATTTTGGATTAGAAAAGGAAAATACCAACTATATAAAATTATTTAGTACTACTTATGCCTGATAAACAGGTTTCCAGAGTGGAAATATCTGTAGCTGCTGAAATGATTCTTTACACATAATTCTTGTGACAGACCAGAAACTCTGTGAATGAAAGATGCAGTAAAATAAGATGTAGATCATGTCAGTCATTAAAGATGGACAACTGCCCATGAGTTCTAGACAGATTGCTACATTTTTGTGCACCCATACAGGATTTAATGGCTGGTACAGGAAGGAGAAAGTAGTCAAAGGCAACTTAAGGCAGAAATGTTAAGTTTTGTTAATGGGACAGAGATAAACCAACTGAGTAAGAGAAACCTGCTAGAAAAAGGAGGTCTGCGACTCAGAGATCTAAAGACCTCCTCAGCATCCTGTAGGATTGCAGCTCCATCTACACCACAGGGCAGCTGTGCTGCACCAAATGCCCTGAGCTCCTGCTCCTAGTTAACTAGTTTTCTAAGGCAGCAAATCTACCCGAGCATGCAGCATTTCCTTCTCTGGTCAAAGGGCAGCTATGGTGTTCACCACGGCCATGCTGCAGCAAAGCAGTGAGCACATCGTTAGGTCGCATCCCTGGGGTCAGGACCACGGGGCATACAGCTGACCACAGCCCAGTGATGGCCACAGCCCCCTTCCTCATTCACGTTCAGGACGTGGAATCTTAGATAAACGGTCTGCAAGGCAGAAGAGCCGTGGTAGTGAAAAGGACAAGTAGTTTTCCAGTCTCTTGCTACTGGATCAACATGTTATTTTTGTGCTTCATTTTACATACATTAGTCAAACTTTAGGACAAAAGTTAGTTCAAATGTGCCTAATGGATTTGAGGATCAGAATGTCTCAGGTCAAGTTTGGCTGCTTAAGGTAGACCTCCAGGCTGGGTACCCTCTGCAGCTTGCTTCTCCCAGACCTCAAGGACCCAGAGATAAAAATAATCCCCTCATCCCCAAACCTACCTAAACTCCTACACTTAACTATTAAAAACCAACACTAGCACTAGTACACTCAAACTTGAGAAATAAAATAAGCATCTAGTAGACAATAAACATACTTTCAACTTCTAAAGGCAGTACAAGAGCTAAGTAATTCACTATCTTCTGCCCTATTTTTCCACAAGAAGGGAAGGAAACTTGGATCCAAGTCCTAAGGATTATCAGCATTTGAACTGAAGTAAGAATGCAGAATTGGGCCGTCCAAACCTCCCACGTGCCCCCATCAACTCATTGGAAGCATCCACAGCTCATCAGAAAACTTACCAAATGGAACAATGATGGGACATGTAATGCTATAGGCCATGATGACAGTGAACACGCACAACATCCAGGCATACATTGCTCCAAATTCATATTCAAATGCCTGTTGCTAGGAACAAAAACAAAACACTCAAAACTCTCGTGTCATCTATCAATGTGTCACGAGTTAAGAATAGATTCACTAAAGCAACAATTCACCTTCTCTTATTGTCTCCCTATGAGAGATCAGTTATCTCCCTAAGAGGCATAAATGACGTAATTAGAGAGATGAAGTATTATGCATTTAAGCATATGTACTTACAGAAAATATGCTGCTTCTTTCATAGCCCTAAAGTAATTCCTCCAGGAATCTGTTTTCATCTACAAGAAGCAACTACTTAAAACCACATGGCAGAAAATAATTGTGCCACACTCAGAACCTTCATCTCACTGCAGATTCCACTGAATCTGTACTGTCCCTTGTGTTGGTTTTCCCAGTAGGGAAAGCTCAAAGCTTTGGTGTGGTCAGTATTCTCACTTTTTCCTCTTAGGATGAGGAAATCAATATAAATCATTTCAACCAGAGCAAAGGGTAATATGCAACAGTTAAGAGAAGTGAATGTTTAAAAGAATCTTGTAAAAATGGAACCCACCCATCCACAAAAAAAGAACAAAAGAAATGAAAGAAGAAAAAGAACAAGGGCAGCTGTATACAGGCTTCAGTTCCCATTGTAACACCTGGAATTTCAAGCTGCAAGATAACACATCATCGGGAAGTGACAGTCCACCACTTCAAATGGAATACAGACAATAAGTATGTATTTTGCTCGGTGTATGTTCATATTGAAGTAAGTTGTACACACCTGCGGGCTGCCAGAAGAAACTAACTACAGACAGATTTGAATTTAAAAACCCCCAAAGTCTAGACTCTAGATAAAATCAGAATTATCTTATAAAATTAAAATCATAAAACTCAGACTTGGAGCTATGAAGAGAATGATATCTGAAGTCCAGAGCTTGGGTTTTGATTTTTGACCATCTCTGACTTGAATAAATGCCTCCCCATTATCTGTGCTGAAAATAAATGGAATATTAACCTGTCATAGACAAGTGAAACAAAGGCCAAAAAAAATGACAGGAGATCATAGTTAATGGTATGAAGGACAGGGGCTCCCACTGTTTCTGATAAGGTTCAGTCATTTAATTGCCTCTTCCTAAGGAGAGGCTCTAATACCTGTTTAATATTTTTCCTTTCTGCTGTGGACTTGGCCATTATCATGCGTATGGTGTAAAGGATGAGGCCAGGCAGGCGCAGCAGCTCCATCCCATTGCCAATGAAAGCAGAAGCAATCACATAATTCACAAAGAAGGCTCCCTGGTCAGGTAAAAAGACACATCTGCAAGGAAAGACATCAGACACTGACTGGAAAGCAGACAAACCAATATAGCATATATACAATGGATCCCTATCACCCTTGGAAATCTGTTACCATAAGGAAAAGCACTGGATAAGCACCATAAGAAGTGGCTAGTAGACTTCGGATAATCTTGTTGGGGAAAAAAAAAAAAAAAAGAAAAAAAAAAAAAAAAAAAGAGTACTACATAGCTATAAATGCAGTAAGTGTAGTATACAGCAAGAGCCTGGCTGAGTTCAGTTTGGATGAGGAAAAACGTTTATGAAAAGATACAGCAGTCTGATGGGTGGCTGATAGCAGACAAGAGTATCATTTGATGTCTGCAACAGCAACCCGAGATAAGACTGCAATAGGATAATTCTCCCTCCTAGGTTTGTAACTCCTAATTATCTTCTTGTTAGGAATTTTGAAACAGCATTTGGAAATGTAACTACGTCCTAATAATTACATTCTATTCTTTCCCTCCAGCCAGAGTCACAAGAACTTATAATAACCAATAGCTGCAAATTTGCAATGGTGGTGTAAAAATGTTCATGTATCTTAGAATCAAGAGTCAACAGATTTCATAAAGAGAACTGCTGCAGCTATTTGGTCTCACTGTAATCCTTGGGAAAATCCCCTGTCCATGATATGCAATCCTCAGTATATTTTCTAGTCCCCTCTCACCGGCATCATATCATCCTGTCCTTTCTTGTTTCTACAAAATTTGTAAAGTTTTGGGAAAATAACTGTCTACTTGTTGATTTTTTGCATACATTAGCTAGCTAGAAAAATTATGGATTTCTTCATAGCAAAATCACTTATATTCTCCTCCCCTTATTCAGAAGCTCTTCATCATCCCACAGGGTACCATCCCCGAGCAAATTTTAACACACACTAAGCAAGGTTAGTCAACAGCAAAAAAAAAAAAAAAAAAAAAAATTCCTTTAGAAAAGAGTTGCTAATACTTACTCCAGCCTAACTGCAGAATCAGACGATTCTCTGTCAAACAGCCAGCGGAAAAAAAAATCAAGGCTGAAAGAAAGATGGTTAATGAAATTCAGTCTCCAACAGCTTAGTACTGTCTAAAATTAATTGCTTCTCTTTTTAAGTATTTCAGATCAGGATAGTGAATAGAGAGAATTTCATCAAATATGAACACTACTTTATCTTTACGACAGTCAGAAATGGGAGAAAAGATATAGAATCAAACAAAAGAGAAACATCTACTTCATACTAAAGTTTTAATGATTCAATATTGGCAGTTACTATGTAGATAGAACAAATACGTGTTACCCAGTTAGCCAGGAAAACAGTCAAATACTGTAAAGGTGGAAAGAAAAGGACAGACGGGAAACTGGGTTCCCAACTGTGATGGTAAGTATGGGCAACTTTCAATTAATCATTGATCTTACAAGGTCTTAAATTTATTTGCTGAAAGAAAAGTCAGCCTTTGGAAACTTTAAGGGCTGTAAAGTCCTCAGGTGAAAATTGAAATCTAATGCGTAATGACAATATAACCATACACACTGGAGACAGTAGGGGTACATCAACTAAACCCCAACTAGCAACTAGAAAACAGAAGTAAGTTGTGTCATTATAAAAATACTCAAACATTACTCTGTTAAACTATCTTTACCTGGTCAGACCAAGGGAAGGCAGAATCAATACCATGAAGATCAAAAATATGTAGACTTTATGCATCATTATTCTGTTCTCTGCAGATCTACCAACATAAAAAGTCACTGAGTAAGTAACTCATACGAAAGACTTCCACGCATGAAAGATCTTGCCCAGAGAATGTCAGCACCTGACAGACTTCCAGCTTCCTCTACCATATCACATTGCTACAAGATATTCACAAAACAAACATCTTAGTGAGTATCTCAAATTTGGACCAAGCAGGCTCTCAGTATCTTCTTGAGCAGTGAAAACATTTCTGAACATTAATCCAGACTCTGGATTAGCATCACTACAGGTCTGCACCACAAGCAAGGAGATGGATGTGTGACAATCACAGCTGGTCTCTCATGCAGTGATTCTCACATCTCGCAACAGCTTGTAAACAAACAGCTCTGCAAGTGTTATGCCAAGAGGGATTAGGCAGTTCGTAAATGGGCACCACTGCCAAGAAAGCAGACACTTAAACTACTTGACTGTCCTTGCCAACTGACAAGTCTTTGGGAACAACACCACACTACTAATGCTATAACCCTACTACATCTATCTAGTGACACACTGTTGCCAGAAAAACACACTGATTGCTATAGCAATTCAGACTGTTAAGGGTGGTATCTGATAGGGCGTTAAAACCACAGAGGTTTTACTATAGGATCATGTAGCCTGTGCAAGGATAGGCTCATGGCACTGTGCAATGTATTAGAGTAACTATACTGAGGCCTGAAATCAGATCTGTGATTGCTAGTGACTTTAGAAATCTATTTCCACGGACTGAGAAGGGCTCAAAGTTCACGTGCCTAGTGCAACTACCGAAAAAACAAACAAACAAGCAAACAACCCCCACAAAAAAAACAGTTGATGAAAAGCATACAACTTTGATGAATAAACAGTAGATTCTGGACATGATGTCTTACAAGGAAATGGTACAAAAAAATTTAAAAAGTCAAAAAAAATTCACCTTACAATACAAAACCAAACAAAAAATGGCTGCAGGCATTATGGAAAAAGATTGAATGAAGTTGAGTGAAGCTGGGATTCACTGTACAGTATCATGCAGTTATCTGACTGTAGGTAAACTGGGGATGAAGTCTGGTACGCCAAACCAAGCTGTGCTGAGTTCTCCAAGTTAGCAGCACATCACTGTGCTTGACATCTCTGGAGTGCACCGGTTGTGTCTGAAAATCTTGCATCAGCACATCTGCTGGGCCTTGGTCTTCTCAGATCACTACTAGCAACATCCAACAGCAACTGAGTTGTACACCAAGAGTTACATCCAGACCATTTTTTCCATTCAAAACAACAAAAAACCCTTTTTACAAGTAGCATGCCAGCAGTTGGAGCACTTTCTGAGGAAGTGGGATTCTGGGGTTCTGTGAAGTTCTCAGTTTGGAGGAGATAAAAACCCACACCTCCTATCTTCCCAGACAGTGAGCGAGTTATGGGATCAGAGGCACCCCTCATGCTCCTGTTGAAGCTACACCCCTCAGCCTGCTTATACCTATTTTTCTGAGTAAACACAAAGGCAGTGGGAGCATAAGCAAATCATGTGGCCAGATTACACTTGCTGTGTTGATTACAAATTACTTAAACACCAAAGTGTGGGTTATGACATTAGAAAGAGACAAGAGCACGACACTCGCTGCTATGAGGGGTCTGTGGATTTAAGAGCTCCATGGAAGATAAGCACTTTCGCCATTTATTTTAATAATTCAGCTGATGAGGTCAAAATAGAGGAAAACCTTGCTTACTTTGTCCAGTGGGACTCCAGCAAAGTTGAATAATAGACAATTGTTGGTAGCAAAGCTGAGAATGACCAGAGCAAGAGCGTTGGGAAAAACTGACTGACGATTGGATTCTAGTGAGGGGAAAAAAGTAAGAATAAGCATTAAAAACATTTTAATGTAGCTGTGGTAGAACAGAGGCTGCAATATTTTGCTTTTTGTAAATTATAACAGGTTGGACTGTGGAAGTTATATTCAGATACAGTCTTAAAATGAGTGAGTGCGCATCACTGGTGTGCAAGACAAAAAACAAGAGTAGGATTGGGAATTAAATTCCATGAGACTGAAGTCTCACACGCAGTTTTTATGTAGTTTACACTAGCTTGGGGAAATATTTAAAATTAACAGTTTGCAAGAGACTTCAGCTGCATTCAAACTACAACTAGATATATATATGCCATCCTGTTTTGAATTCAATAAGCAAAATAAAACTATGGCATTTTACTTCAGAGTTTAAAATCTGAATTTCCCCCTTTCTCAACAGAAAAATCAAAATACCAATTGGACTTGAAGTTCTATTTTTGGCAAAGGTTTTTGATTACAAAATTTATAATTATGTAAAACTGTAATGAAAATTTTAACTACAAGTAAAACTTTTATAGTATATAAAGTTTCAGATTAAATTACCTCATCTTACTATCAAGGAACAAAAGAGGACTAAAGACCTGATTCTGGATGTATGCTTTTTAGTCAGCCTTTACATAAAACAATGCTGAGAATTTCAAATTATAGACAATGTTTCATTGTCTCATTATGCACCTATCAGTTCATCAACATTTTGGTCTGATACACAGCTATATCCAAACATATGGTGATACTCACGTTAAGGTAGTGAATAGGTTTAGTGACATTGAACTTGTCCATGGTTGAGATGATTATTGAAGGAGTAGTAAGAAAAAACAGCACAATAAAAAGAAGCAAATTAATGCAAGCCCATCTAAACCACCATTTCAGTCCACGCACTGAAAGATTTTTCCTGAAAAAAAAGGACACAAAAGCAAGCAGTAAGCATTTGCTGTTAAAAAAAATATATACTAGCTGTCAAGTAACAGTTGGCACTGCTTTTCCTAAATTGAGCTTTCATAGTCCCCAAGTTATATAACAAAGCACTACACAAGTTTCAGTTGCTATTAGAAATAAAGAAAACTGTGCAACCTTTCTTGAATGATAATGTAAATTGCACTTGCAGAAGAACGTATTTAGTCTTTCATAACACAAACACAATGTCTAATATAGTTAAGGTTTAGGATGAAACACTTGAACTGTTTAATAATACAGAAGTACTAAACAAAGTCAGAACAACAAGAGATAGAGACAGAAGATAGAGAATTTCTGCCAGAAGAATAGCTATCAGAGGCAGAATATACCAAGAAACTGTAATTTGAGAAAAAAAAAAAAATTAAAAAAACCTGCATCCCTTCCTGTTGTATCAAAATGGCAAACACAGGTCTTAAACAGGTAAAGTTCTTAAATGTTATCTGAAATAATAAAAAAAAAGGTTCTCAAAGGACTGGAATGATTTGAACCCCAGCCAAAGCCAAGTATTTAGATCAGACAAAACAGGGATACAGAGGCTCAGTAACATCCCGAATTACGACAACTCTTTTTGTAAGGCTAGGTAAGTAACTTGGCAAATCTCTGTGCCTCCACTTCTTCAAGGGGAATGAGAGAAAAGAACAGAAAAAACACCCCAACAAACAGCAAAACCCCACCATGTTCCCCTCTCAGAGATGTTCAGAGAAGTTTTGTAAGTGCTTCAGCCCACGGAGTCTCAACAATTATTTCCTGTGTCCATTAGACAGTGGTTGAAGAAAGGAAGAGAAAATGAAGCACACAAGCATGCAAGAACTCTTTTGTGAAAAAGGCAGATTAAAATGACCCTTACTGGAAAGCAGTTTACAAGAGATTTTTAGATCATATCTCAAAATAACACAGCTGCAGAAGACACATCTAAGAATCATGGTTGTTTGCTTTACGGTTAAAGATTCTGTAGTTTATACCCAAGTGTAGAATTGCAGTTCTAGAGAAAACTTCTCAATTATTAGAGATAAATGGCATAGTCACCTTAAAAGTAATTTTGTATTAAAATCATTAGGAAAAAAGTATACATAAAAAAAAAGTTACATATGTGTGAAATACAGTAACTCGCATGTTTGTGTCTCACTTGCAGTTTTGGTTTGGGCAATGGAACTGTCACAACAAATTTACTGTTATATGAACAGGGGATTATACTGACCCAACTCTAAGTTATTTGCAAAGCAATTGGAAAACAGTTAGTCATTTTTAGACTAAGCATGACAGCAGGCAGCACAGGAACGGTTAATTCAAAAAGCATTTATCTATTTCCCGACACGCGGGTAAAGTCTGGGAAATTTACTGGGTCAATAAAAAGATGTTAGAAGACAGACCATAGTTCACAGTGTGGATCAAGTTACACTTGTCATGTGGCAACTAAAAAAAAAACCAACACAAAAAAACAACCAAAAAACCCCATACTTGGAGAATACTCAGCACTAACACCAAGCTGCTTTTCTCAGATCTCAAAAGTAGGTATGCATTAACCTCAAAAAATGAAAATACTGAGGCACAGTCATTAATAAGATAAGGGGGAGGGGGATGGTTTTTCTGTTGTTCTTGTTTTTTGTTTTGGGAATTGGGGTTTTTTCCTCAGTTAACAGGATTAGCAGGTACCAGAATTTGGGGTGGCAAAACCCTAGTCAGCCTCTGAGAGGCCTCCCCAAGGTCAATGAAACACACCACTACAGGAAATAAAGATGCAGATCAGTCACATCCAAAAGCTACATAAAGTCTTAGTTTAGGGTTAAAAAAAAAAAAAAAAAATGCACTCAGCTCCTTTCTCCTGTACCCATTCTAAACCTACATTATCACAAATAGATGGATGTAAGACAGGACTCTTACCAACAAATATTCTCAGGATAAGGAGCGTATGTAACCTCCCAGTTTGACACACACAGCTCCCTGCTGTAGGACGATGGCTGGGGTTCTCCTTTACACTTAATACTCTGACATTTGCAGGCATTGAAGTCTTTAAGAATACTGTAAGGAAGAAAAAGGAGGATTTTTCCAAATTTTTACACCTGAAAATGCTGCATACGTAATGAGAAAGACTGGAATAGTGATAAAGGTTTTTTTGCTTTTAATGACCAGAGATCAAGATAGTACTTAGACAAAAATGTAACATATCATGCACATAAGGACCATCATATAAACAGTTACTACCACAGGGCTCTGAGATCTGTCAAAGCTGGAAACAAAAAGCAGTCTTGGTTTGAACTGTTCAGTGCTTATACCAATACTAACAACAGCAGTGACTCGTATTAAAATAAAAATAAAGTAAAAGTCTGAAAGCATTAAAAAACCATAAAAATAAAGACAGCCTGTTCCCCAAACACCTCTTTGTGTAGTTACAACTGTTTTCAAATCAAAGCAGACTAAAGGATTAGTCTGCACTCTCATTTCATTACACTAGTATCAAAACTAGTCAATTTTGCCTTGAGTACCAATTCTCAGAAAACTTTTATCATGCTGGTATTCTCACAATTCAAAATATTATCCTCTTTCACCCACTTCTAAAATAATCACAGTGTGTAATTTTATCTTCTAATATTACAAGTTGATTGACAATCAGTGTATTTAAATACAATTTAAACATGCCCAGAATAAATGCTTTCAAAGATTTCTCAAAGCACAGCAATAGAAGTGCTAAGCATATATTTAGAGACAGTACAACTGCTTGTGCATTACTGTGTAAAGGAAGTTCCAGTCCAGATAAGCTTTTACACTAGCATGGAAACAGTATATGTTACATTTGAATGGGCAGACTAAAATTCTTGAACATGCTTGTTTCTCAGTTGTGCTCTTAACATAAAGAAAACAGAGAACCACACACAAAAACACCAAACAAAGAAAAATAACCGCCAAACCCCAGCTCTTCACCTTACCAGAATTCAAGTAGTGATGTCAAATTGCCAGCATCTCGCAGCAGCAAGTATTTAAGAAAGTTAATTATACTTTGACAGTTTATTTTTAAAAATGCATACAGAGCAAGCTTTAGCACTACCAGCCATACTACCAAGCACCATCATTTACCAAGCTTCTACAACCACCTGGCTCCTTGAGCCTCAGTCTTGGCTTCCTGTTTCTCTCATCCTACTTCAGGGCTCCGTGGAACAAAGCCTACTAAAGGCACCAAATAACTTTCTAATTTGATCATTGCCTCAGCTTCACATGTAATTTAATTTTCCAGAGAAAGGAGTCTACCACATCAATTCCAAGCTAAACAAACTAAAATGTTTTCAGTTCTCAATAATTCAACTCAGAGATGCCTGCAGTGCAACTCTGAGCACAAGCCCAAGGAGAGACTATCCCATCAAAATTGCACACAACAAATCAGCAGCTAGTGAAGGAACTGCAGTGCTTATTTTTTCTTTCAGTTTCACACCTTAAAATGTTATTTCATGCTCTAGATTCTCCTAAATATGGTGTTTGACATTACAAAATTAGGCGAGGGGGCAGATTTCACCACACAATCACCACTCAGTTAAAGAGCAGCAAGCAAAACTTTCTCCAGCATCCCAAATTCTTGCAAGGAATTCTATACACTGGTCTTCCTTGAAAAAAAGCCTGAAAGAGTAGCTCTCTAACATGACTTGAAGGTCAGAAAAATGCAGACAATTTAAATCAGAGAGGCTATGAAGAATTAAAAAAGCATGATGTGTTATTTTTGTAATACAAATATTATTCTTCTTCCCTTTACCCACTCCATGTTAGTAAAAGATGTTCACAAAGTGCCTACAGAAAATGAGAGGCTACATGCATTTTCTCTACAAATGACTGAGTAAAAAGCCCTGAGCAACTGCTGATATTAGGCCTACACATGTATCTATAATAACAAGCAAGAAAGATACATAATGTGTACCTATCATGTATGGCCAGGTCAGTCACTGGCTCTGCTTTGTTGAGATGACTAACTAGCAGTGTAATTTGCACCCACTGTGATAGTTTGGTAATTGGACCATTTGCACAGTAGAAAATGGAGAAATCAGCAACTCACCTTCAAGAGCCAATTAGTCTAGCCTACTATTAACCTACACTGATGGACTGGATCCCACACAGAAGAGAAAGGCTCCTCATCCCAATAAGTGTCCAGAGCCATTCGATATTTTCTTCACTCAAAGCATAGAGGCTAAATGCACACTTACAGGAAAACTTACTGGAAAGCAAAGCAGACGAAATCCACAGCATGGTGAAGAAGAAGAAAGGAAGAACCAACATAAGCAAATAAGCAACACAAACAGATCAGTTGTACTATTATAGTCAAAAGAGAACAAGCAAGACAGCAGACAAAACTTACTAGGTTGCCATGGATTTCTCTTGAAATGTTACAAAAGCCATTCCCAGTGGGTTATTATGAACAGCTTGTTCCTCTTTTGAATATTCTTCCATCAGCTCATTTCTAACTTTGGTATAATAATCTACAGCATCCTCCTGTCGGGAAATTGATGACTCTTACATCCAAGTACCAGATGGCTAATATCTTCATTAAAACAGCTTACACAAACCATAGTCTCGCTTCCTCATACTATTTCCACAAATTACAAATCACGTCACAATGCAAAGACAAACAAACAGTAAGTTTTTCTTGTACTTTGATTTTTGCACTAAGATTACATTTCAAAAGTTTTGGGGAATTCCTTTTCTGTATAGTGCAAGATCATGAAGGATGAGCTATCTGCAGTAACTGAATAAAGGATTTTCTGAAGCTTAACAAGGTGTCACACAAAAACAATTATCTACCCAACAATCTACCTAGCCATAACTAAACATGAACACAGTCTCTTACCCTTTCACATCCTCTCATTTCACAACAGCAGAACTGACCACATGGTTTAGGGTTGATTTGGACCCGTTTGCCATACTTCTGATGCAGGTGTTCATAGTAAGTCAGGCTTTTTTCTGCCTGTTTTCTGGACAGGAAAAATACATCCATAACACTTTGCAAGAGCACAGTATCAACATCAAGTTTAAGAATATAATCCCCAAGATAAAAAGTTATGTCAGGAACTGATAACAAATTAATCAATCACCAAAGACATCCATATACCTTATTTTGGCTACTCAGCATAATTTATTTTCAAGTCTGTAATTGCATTATACAGCCTACACTTTTAGTGAGGTTCCAGGAAAAAAACCCAGGTATAGCTCAGAAGATAACACTTTTTTCTCCTGTGACCAGCACCTTCAGCCAAAGAAGCAGGGTCCCAGAGTTATTAATTCAATAGTTGGGTTTTCTATTTTGCACTGCCTGAGAATAATTACATACATACATACATAAATAAATAAATAATCAGCAAGTCAAGGCTTATCTTAGGCAACACACAACATATCACACCTACAAGAAGTGGGCTGAGCCCCACAACTCACATTAAAACAGCTGAATCTAACTCAAGTCCAGCCCAGAACTTTAAGAGCAGAATTCCTTTCTAGTATGCACAAGCTTGGTACTACTGGTATATGTTGACCATGGACTGGCAAAGCATTCATAAAATTATCCTAAACTCAAGTAGATTACAAAAGCAAGTACCTTTTTTTGAAGAGATTAATCAGTTTGGCTACATCATAACACAGCTGGACCTCCAGCACAGCACAGGTTGGGTAGGCAGCACTGAAAAGGAAGCAGTACATAAGAACAATAAGAACAGAAAGTACAACGAAGAAACTGTTTCAAAGAGCATCACTGTTGTCTAACTGACATCTCAATCACTCATTACATTTCTGAATGAGGTAATAGAGACTTCCAGAGACAGTTGTTGAAAGTTACTTTAATATGAGATGTGCAGCATTATTCCCAAGTAAACACTATGTAGGAGCAAGAATAGAAAGTGTGAATACCCAGCCACTTTCTTAGATTCTAAATTTTAAGATCATCTAACTTTATTGAAACATAGTCTTTTCTCAATTCTGTCTAAGGAATAAGATGCTTTTAGAAGACGGATACTATGAGTATTAAACAGCACAAAAGTAAAAAAACATTTCTACTTGGCAGGCAAAACTGCTAGGATAATTTTAAATCTTCTCTTCCTAATGATACTACTCAAGCATGGAACTTACGTGAAATGGCCTTGTATTGTCTCTTCTTTTGCACTTTTTGGAAGACCAGTTATAAACAATGTGCACTTAACCTGCAAGAGAAAATGCAACTCCAATTTTATGAAACTGCATCACAAAAGAGAAAACAAGAATACGAGGAAGGCAGTGACACAGCACAAGTAGCTGAGTTCTAGAGGGGAAAAAAAAGGTAGGAAATTTTGATTTTGATTGGAGCTGAACCTATTCAAGACAGCACCACATTCACCTTCTAGATTGGTAATAGTTAACCAAAATTTCACAAATCCCTCCCCCCAATCCCTTTCTCTCTGTCCATTTTCACAATTCACTCAGTGGAGTTTTCCTTTCAATGAATTCCTTCACACTTATGTCACATTCTAGCAAGCAGGAGGCATCTTAGCAATTTGCTTTTTTAGCATTATCTGCTTGCAAACATGCTGTACAGTTCAGGTCTCTTCACTTCAATACAGAAACTTACTGTGTTTTCTTCCTTGTATGTGACATACTTCATATGATGTCTCATGAAGACAACAGTCAGAATCAGGTAAACAACAGCAAAAACTGTGTGTAGCCAAAGAAGATCATTCCTATCAGACAAAATGTTACAAATATGAGAAACAGGAAGCATTAATTGTCCAACTGATACAAGTAGCCATGAAAATGCTAAGCAGATCAGAATCTCTCATTGAACAGAAAACAACAAAAAAGGTAGTTAGTGGTAGTCAGTCATGCCTATGCAGGTGCATTGGACAGGCATTAGGGTTACTTGCTTATAAAATTCTATGGGTAACAGACCTACAAAGAAAACAGGTACTCTATAACATGAACATCTTTATGCAGCATTTGGCTTGCACCTTCGTATTTAGAGCACCAATAGCACACACCGTGCTATTTGTCAAAACACTTTTTATTGGCCTTATTATTTACTGTGATGAGTGCATAACTGAACTCTCCTTGAACACAATACTTACTCAAATTGAAAACAGTCTAACACAGGGGGTAAATTCTGCTTCTCCGATAGCTCCTTCCTCTAAGCTTACAGAAGTTCTATTCTGTGAACAGCTCTTCAGTTTTGCAAAGAGCATTAATAATTACAATTAACCTAAAATACAGGAACCTATTTTACAGATAGAAAATCCAAGCAAACAAAACATTCCCACTAGTTACTAGCATTCATAATATGGTTTAAAAAAAAAAAAGTGCATTGTCAGAAACTCTACTGGACATAGTAGCATGGATGGATGTGGATTGGTCAATTAATAAAACAATAAAGTGTACAGCTTTGTATCTTGACTATTTTACAGACTTTTTTTAAAACACACAGAAGTAATTTCAGTTGTGAACTTGGATGGGAGAGATACGCACACACATAAATCTGATGTAAGACAATTTAAATCATCTGAGTTACACATTCTAGTAAAGCTGTTAGCTTTATTTTCCTTCTGAAGTATAGTTTCTTTTAATGCGGAAATTTCAGAAAATAATATCAGTAGATGTGCAGTCATTAGCCAAGAGAAACATGTGGTGAAAGAAGTAAGAGCTGAGAAAGTAGAAGCCAAGTCTCCAGATTTCTTAACAGCACTGTAACTGCATAGCCTGAAGCAGAGCATATCCCAGTTTCAGTTGATGAAACGTGAATAAGTAATTCCTACTCCATGAGCCACGTTGCAAGTATCAATTCATGTGTTTAGAGACTACGGCAGGAAACAGACATAAGCATAAAAGTACTCTGCAAGATTTACTTACCCAGTTTGTAAGTTTACTATAGTTGTTCTTCCAAAACTATAGGGATCTTTATCTAAGAAGAACAAAACCAAGTAGCATAATTAACTGGTGCAACATTCATGTGCAAGCTGTCAGAAAGTCAGTTTTCATTCTATTTTTGATATACTATTTTTTAATGCTGAGCTTGTTTATTGTGAAAAAGAACCAGAATTGTAATTAATGCTGGTTTACACTGCATTGCATTTTAAAGTTGGGGAAAACCCCCCAGGATTATACCACATTCAACCCATCAAGAGAATAACAGATTATTTTAAAAATCTGAATATTAGATCTTTGCAGCAGTTCCCTTTCTCCCTCCAATCTCCCTTCAAGTCCATTAACATCATTGTTTAGGGATATGAACATGTTTCCTTCACATTTTTATGAAATCTTCACTGATCTCTTATCTCAGTTTTTTAAACTGCATTAATTCAGTGTTGACAAAACAGTACTGATAACTTTACTAAGGTCAAAAATGAGAAAGTTTACATGACATTGTTTCTCAAGACTGTCAAGTATTTTAAAAAATTATAATTCAAATGAGTGAGAATTGAGTGCATGTTCACAAAGTAAAGGCAGCTAAGTGTATCTGGAAAGCTAAACAATCTTCTAGCATAGACTGTTAAACCACCTTGCAAATCACAACATCACAACAGCAAGAACTGTAAATGCACAAAATCAACATATGGAAGGGGAGGAAAAAGGGGAGAGACACTAAAAATTCATATCTGTTTTTCAGCTGTATTTTCTAGAATCACAAAAATTAATGCAGGAAAACAGAAGCTGTATTCTGCTCTAGAAGGCCAACAATACTCTGCCATTTGAATTAACAGAGAGCATCTATTGGTATCCAAGATAATACAACTTTTATCAAAGTGTAGTTAGAGAAGAAGAGTGCACACAAATTGATGTGTATTGCAAAATCCATTTTGGTATAAATATATAGGTAGTAAATAGACCAAAAGCGGGAACTACATTCTATAAATTCTTTGAAGGCACCAGCATCTCTCTCTACTTTACAAAGGAAGTGAAGACAGCAACTAGGGCACCAGTTGAATTGGATTCGGTTCTGTAAAGCTAGGAACACTGGATAACAACAGAGATGGAAAGCAAGGAAGGAGAAGCAACTGTGAAGTGATAAAGGGTCCTTTGAAAGAACCGGAAAAAAAAAAAAAAAAAGAAATGCAAATGAGGAAAGAAAAACAGCAATAAAGTCTTTAAGCAAGCAGATATATTAATATAAACAGAGAATTGCTAAGAAAGAGCTCATAAAAGGGAAGTTGGAAATGGCAGTTCCACAAAGAAACAATACTAAAGGCACAGGTACAACATATCCCATTACAGACCAGGACTAAGTCACAAGGTTCTTTAAAACACAGGAGTAAACTGAAAACAAAAACTAGGCCACATTATTGAGGACTATAGAAGAGAATAAATTACAGGGACAAAGATCAGTAAGATCAGCACATGAAATAAGATGCAATCGTTGTGGTACAAGAACAAACAAAACAAAACACAAGCAAGTATTCAGCCTGCTAGCTCCTGGGAAAACCAAGTGAATTATTACTTTTTTGTATCACTATTCACCAAGATGATCAACTATGAACAACTCTGTAAACATGATCTTGACAAGACTGATACAAAGCCAGGTATAAAATGGGCTTATAAGGGCTCATTATCAAAAAAATGGAAGAATATTTAAACAGGGTTTAACAGAGTTCTGTCTACCAGCATTCTCATTAGCAACATGAATGGCAGACTAGAGGACACACTTACTGCATTTGTTGAGTGTGAGTTAATAATGGAAAGAGGAAGACCAGCAGGCATAATCAGAACTAGACTGCAAGAAACATGAAATAATTCTTTGTCTGGTCAGCTCAGTCTCAGCAAGAAGATCTGTCTAGTTTTGAGCCGCAAACCAAGGCAGAAAGGAACAATTTGAGACAGTCTAGCCAGATTAAACAAAAAGTTCAAAGGATAGGTGATGATTTTATGATCAGTGAAACAGAAACCATTTCTCATTAATGACTGAATTAACTGGTCTGATTTATCAAAAAGAGGAAAAAGCACAGATGAATTGATAATCCTCAAGCAGCTAAAAAGATATTGCAAAGAGGAAAAGAATCATCTTTTCTCCCCAGTGACAGGTCAAAAAATAATGATCTTAAATTGCAGCAAAAGAGATTCAAACTGGACACTAGAAAAAGATTCCTCAGCTGTGAAGACAGTTTCCACCGGCAATCATCACCAGTAAAAATCATAAAGAGTGCCTAGATGAACACCAGTTGAGAGGGCAGTGGTAAAGGTAATCCTGCCTTGAACCTTCTAGGTCTAGTCGCCTATGTCCACATGTGGTTTGCCATCTTGCTTCTGACAGCAGTTTTTGCCAGACTTTTAAAGAACCCTCTACTGTCACACAAATTTCACACAGAATGACACATACATCAGACTGAGGGGAGAAACAAAACAAAACAAAAAACCTACAAAGTTTACCAAAACAAAAGAAATCCTAAAAGTCTTTACAATGATATAAACCAAAAATTCTTCTCAGAATGAAAAACAAAACATCTTACCAAGTAAATCACCCGATAGGTTGACAGGTAATATGACACACACAGACAAAATGCTGACAGCAATCAACAAACAGATGATGTGACGCTGGAAGGCGAGGTAATGTATGGCATCTTCACCACATCTCTCATGAATCTCATCATCACTGCATCATAGACAGAAAAGCACATGGTCAGTCTACTTAGTATCTTTGGGGTTTTGCGGGGTGGTTTTTGAACATACACCAATTTCTCAGTCTACCCAGTGACATATCCATCAACCTCCATCGGTTTTCATCATGGTTGTATCCTTCATGCATAAATTTAATTTCCAAAAGTGTCTTTTTCTTGTGCAGTATCACCATACAAAAATTAACATAAAGGAAATTTAAGATGGAAACAAGTAATCTGAGAAATAAATATAAATCCAGGTTCTTTTTTTATCAGCCTAAAAGAGGACAAAGTCATTTGCAGTGACCTCCTGCTTTATGACAGCCATGAGGTCTTAAGTCTAGCTCTCAAAATTTAAGATCACACTGTGACAGTGTTCACTCATCTCCATAAAGGCTCCCCATGAGGAAAATTAAAACAGAATCACCTTACTCTTATGACATCAAATTAACAGAAAATATTAATAGGCTTTGGAATGAACTCTCATCATCTATCCATTGTCAGCAGGACAGATCATTAAAATAGGAGCTCTTGGAAAAGGAAGCAACTGAACTAGCAAAACCAGAGCAAGACAGGCTCAATCCTCACCCCTTTTCTGTTTCAAGGTATCCAAGCTAGAAATTGATTTTTAAGCATCATGATTTACTAAGCCCCAAGAGATACAAAGAACGAGTATCACCTGTCTAATGCTCAGTTTCTGGGAAACAGTGGGATGGGCTTTTCCTAGTGGGTCAATTCCAGACCCAACTAAAACCCCAGTTCTCCACAGAAATCGTTGCAGGGAAACTCTGTTTCCTGCCCCAGGCCCTACTGGCTTCAAACAGGGGAACACCCACACAGTACTCTTTGAAGGGTAAAAGCCTAGAGCTTAATTATTATCTCAGAATCTATATAAATGTCATAGATTCACTTAGGTTCACACACTGTCCCAAGATCAGGCAGTCCCTGGGCTGACAGCAGAACAGCTGCATCCTAAGGTACTCCCATAAGCTGACCTTGTTTTCACATTCTTCTTCCACCCCACCAGAGGCACCTGTATGACTGTTCATATTAAATTCTATCTACTCAAGGGAAAAACAAAACAAAACCACACATTTTTGAATGCAAACCCCCTTCTTTAATTAAAAAAAGAGCAGAACAAACCACAGCTCACTACTTCTGTTTCATATACTTACTGCATCCGAAAAGCAGCTGTCATCCAAGAACAAAACCCCTTTAAATAAAAAAGGAAGTTTTTAGGATCTAACATACAAAAAAATATAGTCTCTAATCTGTACAATTAAGAAGTGTTTCTGTTAAGGCAATCTCATAGCTAAAAAGCTGTCAGCTTGTTGCTCTGAAATCATAATTTGGAAACATACAGAAAAATACCTCATACTCTACATACCTCTTATAAGGTACTTCATATGTCTGTCTTCAGAGGGTATTTAAGGGGTTTTGTTAATTACTTGCACATTTGTCTTTTGGGCTTCTTAAATGTATACAAGTGTGCCCAAATCCCATCTCCAGTGAACAGAAGTCAAGATTGGGGCTTCTAAGGAATTTTTTTTTTGAAGAGTGTTTTAGAGCAGAAAAGGTGATTGTCCAAAACCATTTCCAGAGACTCTCAAATTTCAAGGATAAGTTCCGTGAGAGCCTTCTAGAAGTTAATCAGTTAAACGGTAGTTAGAAACAATGCTGTGATTACGCTAATAGAAAGGCTTCTTACGGGTTTACAAATCCCCCTATGAAACTGTACAGTAGAGATCACATCTCACTGAATGTTCCTGTATGGTTCAAAACAATCTTGCCTCTCAAAAGGCCTTTTCTGTCCAGTGAATTGTATTGATCTAAAGCGACACATTTTTATTCAACATTTTCAATGATAAAGTTGCTTTAGGGTTTTAAAAAAGATAAAGAAAACTACAAAAATAGCAGAGCAATCCTAATCAAAACACCAGTATGCTTTTGATGCTCACACAATTATTTAGTTGCAAGACTAGATATTAAGTTGATATATATATAAAATGCTAAGGTGTAGGCTGCCACCACTGGTCAGCTCTTGCATGGTTCATCCTGAAGATGCAACACAAAGTGTTAGAGATGAATTCAAAGACTCCAGAGAGACCGTGGATGGAACCAATTAAAAGTTTGGCCAAAAAATTATCTTCCACTCCATACCAGTTTCAATGTTAAGAGCACGTGGTATTATTACTAGCCTTGCACTTGCATCTAGTTTTCTCATATTTGTGGGGAAGATAATATCTATAAAGATCAACTAGGTATTATTTGCAATGTGGACATAATGTAACTTTTTGAACTGTTATTTAAGAAGAAAATATTTAGTAGTCTTTTTTCTTCCCTGCCTCCCCTTTAAAACTCAATAAAAACAAAAAAAAAAAAAAAAAAAAAAACCAAACAAAAAAACTAGTCACTTAACGACACAAGATACTGGTTTGTGATATGGCAATAGCATGTCCGGAAATGGAGAAATTACATATGGTTCTATAAAAACACAATACACAATGCATTACTAATTTTTGCATATAGCTGGTCTTCCAGTTTAATGACTGGTTCATTGGGCTAGGTGGACTGGCAAATTTCAACAAATTCCATTAAATAGTTCACATAAAAACCCAAACAAATAAAAAAAAAAGCACCAACCAAACTAACACAACAAGCATATCAAAACTCTAGAATACTTACCCTATCATATTCAAGATCTTCAGGTACTGATGAAGATGTTGACAATCGGTTGTATCTTGATTCACTAAAACACATTAAATGATGTTTTTAAGTATCTTGAATAACAGATGATGGAATTCCACAGATTTCACCTTTAACAACTCTGAAGTAACTAAGGGAAGTAGTACAAAATTACTTTTTTGCTTATGAAAGCTGTGGTTTTCACCTTGTAGCCTATGCTTAATTACAGAAACTTGTGCTACGTCTCATGTCAAAGAAGGAGGACATGTGAGCACCTGATGTGAGAACGTATAACAGAACTAGAAAGACAATGTTTGATTGGGATATTAAGACGACAGTAACATAAGAGAATGCAACACAGGTTTGTAAGCCTAGCAAGGATCAGATTTGCAAGCTAGCTTACTGTTCAGAAATTCCTCATTACAAGACACCACCTCTTTTCCCTCCACCTTTCTTCATTCATTTTACAGCCACTACTGAGAATTTCTCCGCACAATTAAATCCCTTACCTGCAGGGCCACCTCCTTACAGAGTCCTGTAGCAAGGCTAGAGACATTTAGAGACTCTGCAGCCCTCAAAAAATAGCAGAGTACCTGTTTTCAGTTTGTTGCTAAAAAGAAATGTTGCAATGGTGATTTGCCAATAATTACAGGACAACACATGTTAAAATGGAGTGTATTCATAGGTGTATCTATAATATTTTTGACCCAGCTAGCTCAGGTCACAGCCCAGCAGGGACAATAACATGGGCTCCGAGGTGTCTGACTGCTCAAGGGCCTGTTTGTCCCTTGCAGGCCTCTGCAGCCCACATGGAAGTCTACACCAGAGCATCTTCATTCTTGCTGCCTGAGTTACCTGAATTAAGGCAGTCTCAGTTATTGCCCCTTTTTTTTTTTTCATCATCTACTTTTCACAATTGCACATGGATTACACTTAAAACCACATCTTGAGTCCTTTCCTGTTGGTTAGTTGTGAATTTACCACAACTTAGTTACACCACTAACACCAAGAAGAGGCTCACTGTTAAAGTTTACCCACTTCATGAAGAGACAGATAGCTTTTAAACATCCCAAGACATCATCCTATAGAAATAAAAAAAAAAAAAAAAAAAAAAAAAAAATAAAAAAAAAAAAATCAAAGCTCATTTGCAGTATTACTAAGTATCAGTGAAGAATTTCAGAAATCTACAATGATACATTTCTTTTTGATTTTTAAACCCTTCAGAAATATTATGGCACAGGCTGCACAGGGAGCTCTGGGAAGATCCTGGGCTTAAGCCAAGATAAACAAAATAGTTAATACCCTTCTATCACAGAAACACACTGTAAACATCAACGTGTAGGTATGTGACGTGTTAGCAGACAAGCAGCCCATTTTCTTTGCTCCATTTCCTTAACCCACAACTGCAGAATGAAATTCATGACAGTGCCAAACACACAACTTCATTACTGAAACCACAAAGTGTAACTCTGAGTGGGATGTACTTCACACAAAGCAGCGTGAGGACATTTTTAACAAATATGCACATGTGATTACAAACATATCTAATTTATACAAATGCACTTAATTTAAGCCCTATTTACTGTACCAACTTCTACATTCCCCAAGTAGTTTCAACAAATCAGTTCTGATTGCATATCTTTGTTACCTTTCAGCTTCTGACACCAGAGCAACACGACCGTAGTCCCAGAATCTCTTTCTTATAATGGAAAACAGTAATATTAAAATCTAGAAAATAAAACCAAAAATCTTTGAATATTTGTTTTTCAACTTCATAATTACTCTTAGGTGTATAGGAACTGTCAAAAAATGCTGTCCCAGCTCCTAAACCAACTGTCATAAGTTAACCAACCCAGTGGTGGCTGTGCTGTACAAACCAACCTGCCTGAGACCACAGGACCAGAACACCTGCCTTCCTGTTCTGATTTATAAAGGACGAGAACTGCAAGCAAAAAGGCTTCTGAACTGCAAATGTTGGAAGGCTTGTGACAGAAGTAGCGGCAAGTAGTACTTCAGAGAAAGTAAAAACTTTCATAAATACACCTTTACTGTTATTCATTACTTAATGACCAGAACTATGACTTGCAATTTTTTTTAATTGTTTTTAAACAGTGATGTAAGCAGGCTGTAAGGGGTTCAACTATTTTCTCAAGTATGAGAATAATTTTTATCCCCAGAAAAAATAATATATTTTAATAATTCATAAAACCCAGAAACTTATACTTTATCTCTGCAATACATTTTTTACCTCCCCTCTGTATTTTCACTTTTTGAAAGAGGCTAAGAAAAAAATGCATCTATGAAATACATAGTGGTTTGGGGCTTTTTTCGCTTGTTTCTTTTTTTTTTTTTTTTTTTTTTTTAAGAAACAAGTTGCTCTGTATGAAGCAACAAAGCAGAAGTAACAAGGCCTGTTTTCTATGCATATGTAGCATACACCCTCACCTCCTAGCCCTTCCGACATCCTGTACCTGTTTGGCTAGAAAGTGGTGTTAGTGATGTAACTTACTTGGATCTATGCAAATACCAACTGGCCAGCCAGTAAACATGTCAAGATTATCTATGTGTCAAGATTACAAAGCTCATTTCCACATTTCACAATTAATATAACCTTATTATAAGGGCTTTCCTCCCAACAGGGAATATTAATTGAAATCTTCCTTCATCTGGCCATTAAACTTCATGCAAGCAGGAAAGTTCTCTAGACTCCTTGACAACTTTGGTTGAAATTGGCTAACGTTTACATGGTTATTAGGAGGAACTGCCAGACAAAAATGGGAAGACAGTGCAATATATAAACCTTGCTTCCTTAGGAAACCAGCTTAGATATAATATTCAGAAGTCCATCAACTGACAGTTACTAAAGGATCTGCAGTAAATGTGCATGAAAATAGGAATACAGGAGTTGTGAAATAAATTGCAGTACTCGGTACTTGAAGATGGGAGCCTTCCACACTGCACCGAACTCTCTATATAATGTTGTTTGAGAGGAGAGTTCAACAGCAAGGAACTCAGACAGAGACTCAATATGCTAAAATTCAACCACAGCTTTAAAAAAAAAAAAAAAAGAAAAAAAGTGCTCCCAAACAGTCCAACTAAATCTTATGAAATGCTGTGGCATCAGTCACACAGAGCAGTAAATACTGTACATCCTCAGCAAATCAATTTATCGTAGCATGCTGCATACACCAAATCAATAGCAAAGCATGCCACTTTCTAACTCTTGGGAGCATCCCCTTCATTCCTACAAAACTACCAGCTCAGGCCTTATGCAGGTAGTTTTAAGTTTCTCCACAGTAGCTTTCTAGAACTCTGGGATTATGTCATCCCTTTAGTCTCATTTTACTACCACAAAGTTCACTTATCAGGCCAATTTGCAGGTCTACAGCTCTCTTTCTGGTGGCTTAAGACCACCTAGACCAAGCTTATAGAAATAAACGTAAGTTTTATTGGAGTCTCAGGTCTGTCCTGGAGCCTCCAGACCAGCAACTAATGCTATTTTTCCTTTTCTCAGGACTGAGCTGATCAGTACATTATTTCCTCGACTGCTTCATGAAATCTGTATTTTTAAAAAGTTTGTGAAATGATAAATTTTCCATATTGGATTTAATTTTGAGTAACAATCAAGTTAGTAATGGTGTTCCCTTGCTCAAAACGTACCCAGTACTTAAAACCCAGAGCAAAGAAAAAATGTTCTTGCAGTTAAGACGAAACACAGAAATCTGAGCTACCACTGCAAAACTCACCATGTCCTCACATACAGACCCTATGATACTGTACTCTCTCTACATCTGTGCATCCAACATACAGTGACCCTGTCGTCCCACGTGTATGTGAACCTTTATCAACACTTGAACAGTGCTTTGAGGTTCCCAGGATGGCCTTAGCACATTTCTCATTCTGAAGATTCTCAGAAACAAACCCCAACCTGAAAAATAAGAGAAATCTGAACAATCCAACTTTTGAGAAGGCCAGAAGTATTTTCAATACAAGAAATAGAAACCGGACTTACAAAAAAGAAGGTTACATCAAGCAGCAGGACAGTTGGGATTCCACCAAAAGTTACTCCTTGAAGCACTGTGCTGCCCCGGGCAGTGCTGTAGCAGTATGTCTCATTCGTTGAGTTGAAAGGCAAACTTCTATTCCAGAAGTAGACTAGATGAGAATGTCCAAAACCCAGAAAAAAGAAAGGGTTCATTTTCTCTTTCCCTTAAAAAAAAAAAAAAAAAAATGAAACAACCATGTGAAAAGCCTGCCTGATATTCATGAGATGTACTAATATTATCAATATAAAATCTGCAGGAGGCTTCTGAAGTAGTTTCCTGGTGGAATAGAAGTTGTATTTGACAAGCTTTCCCCTTCACCTGTAAATATTTTGCAGTAACTGACAGGCTGAGTTACTAGCAGTGTCCAAGCAAGAATTCCAGACATCTAACCAACCATGTCCTCTACAGGCATCTGAGGAAGACTACAGAAGACCCCCACAAAACAAACTTCTCTGTCTTCTAATCTGTAACATCAATCTACTTATTCCAGCCTGGATTCTGATTCTAGGAGTAACACACGGCATTAGGTATTCCAGCAATAGCAGTCTGAAGATTTTGTTCCTAACTGATGAGTATGTGTGAACATACCAGCTTGTGAACTTTGTATTCAAATGTCGAGACCTTGAGATTATTAACAAATTCGCCACTAATTCCAGAAAAGAACTACTACACAAATATTACACATGCTTTTCTCTGTTCTTAGGATAGTGTGATTTTCCTTTTTTGATAGAATTCAACTGAAAGAACAGCACAGCAATTACAGTATATCACAAACAAGAAAAAAACAAAGAATATTTCTAAGAGAACTGACATCTACTTCATTTTAGTCAACTGACCTGCTTAGATAATGTACTAGCATGCAAGACCGCACAAGATTTAGCTATTGATACAAAGGGGTTTTCTCTCATTGCATGCAATTGTTCACTTATTTTGGGGCTTTCCACTTCATTTTTTTTTTCCTTTGATATTATTAACTTAATGGTTCCTATGTAGTACTTGGGACAAAAGTATGCTTCATGTAAAACACATTTCATAAAGAAAGCATAGCCTAAAATCCTCTATCCTTTGAAAGCAAATATTGCAGGTCCTCATCATAGGTTCAGGGACATTATTTTTCTGATATCATGCCTCTGTAATAAGAATGCACGTGTCTGATGACAGCACTAGTCTGGATGCTGAAACCAAAATAAAAACAAAATGAGAATATGAATAACTACAAGTTCTCCCTGTAAGCAGTAGAAAAACAGCATGGAGAATACTCCTCCCAAACCAGCATTTACTAAATGCTGGACTGTGTGACACAGAAAGGAAGAAACGTTGTCCCAACTGACATGTTTCTTCATGGAGGGGGGGAAATAATAATACTCATGCAATTTGTGCCATGAAACAAACTGCCCTTGCTTTCTAAGAACTGAAATTTAGTACTGATAGAGTATTTTTGAACCTACTTAGGAAACCTTCATCACAGCAACCGCCAAGACTGAACGGTAAATTTTAAGTAACACGCTGGATCTTATCGGTCAAGAGTTTCCAATTTTTTCAAGCTACTGTTTTTAAATACGCCAGCTGTCGGGACGATAAAGAGAACGACACGGGGAGCTGCGCTGCAGCAACTAAACGAGCGGCACTCCGTGACCTTTCCGGGCTCCAGCAACGAGAAACCCTCTCCTTTTTTTTTTTTCCGCGGGGACCCCGACCGCGACCCCGGCCCCGGGAGGGGCGTGAAACCGGAGCTGACCGGCCCGGTTTGGCCAGGCGGCACGCCGGCAAACCCCCAGGGCTCGTAACCCGCCCGGTAGCCGGCCCCGGGGCTCCCTGCTCGCCTCCGGGCGAGGAGGCTGGGGGGAAGGGGGCTAGCCCCCCGCCCTGCGCCGCCCCTCAGGGCTCACCCCGCCCGCACCGCCCCGGTTCCGCACAGCGCTGCCGACCAGGGCGGCCGCCGGCAGCGCCGCTCCCGCCCTCCCTTACCTGCACCGGGGCGCCCGCGGCCTGTCCCGTCCCGTCCCGTCCCGTCCCGCCTCGCCCCGTCACCACACGGGGCGCGACGCCGAGGCACCGGCCCGCCCCGAAGTTACGAGCCCCGGCAACAAGGCGCGGGAGCTGCGCATGCGCAAGCGGGGCGGCGGCCGTGGGGCCCTCCCTCCCTCCCTCCCAGCGCCGTGGGCGGAGGGCGTTCGGCGTGGGGAGGCTGCTACCCCGCCGTCCTTTTCCGCGGCCTGAAGCGCGTCCCTCAGGGAAGGGAGCCCGGTGTGAAATAACCGACGGGAAGCTGCTGTCGTTTTTCTTGAGCGGCGGTCCCTTTGCGCCTGCCGCCAATATGTCGGCGTGGCGGGCGGGAGATGTAGTCGCCCGGTTTTATTCGGCGGGGTTTTGTTTTAGCCCAGGCGACGCTTGGAGCTGCGCTGGGGGCTGGTTTTGTTACGCAGTGTTGCTGAAGTGGTATCTGTAATGGTTTACAAATTATTTAGAGGCCTATAGCTTATCTACAAAAAATTTATGCTGGATCCTAAAGACAAAATCTCTGACGAAGGATTTCCTAACTACTGTGTGATTTCTCAATTCTAATGTTAGTGTGGACTACAGTGCTTTGCTTTGGAGGAAACCCTTTTGTGCCTCCATGATTCACACTATCTATTAATGCACACGCACACAGATCTGAACAGAGCTTTTTATAGCAAAAAAGGAAGATGATACATGAGATTTCAAGAGAGATTTCACAATTCCCGGTCTGGTAAAGTGGGCAAGAGTGCAGGTACAAGTGGAGCAGGCCATTCACTAAGATAGGTAACTCTGAAATAAATTAATAGTAGTAATGTGAGTGCTTCATGAAATATTCAAAGCCTCTTGTCTCCACAGACCTATAAAGAGAGAAATAGCATTCAAATCTTGTAAATTGGAAAAAAATGAGACCTAGTTTAATTAATGGCAGAACTGAGATGAGCCTGATTCCCAGCCATCCACAAGGACATCCTATCCTTTATGGGGTTTAATTGCTTCCAGCCAACAGGCCAGAAACGCAGTACAGCAAGACTATGCCATCCACTTCTTCTCTACCCTTTATTTTAGTGTTCCTTCAACAGCCATTTGACACCCAGCATTGCAAACCATCATCATCCTCCTGTGTCTTTGTCCTTCGCCCCTGATTGGCATGATTGACCTCAATGAGCAGCAGGCATCTGAGGATGAAGATTATGATGATGATGGAAATATAACTGTTCAGAGAGAGGCAGGGAGACCACTTGTCTTCAAAGATTTGCATCCTACCTCCAGTCTCATGGGTGAAGCAGTGGTGATGTTTCAGAACAGTGATCTGCTCTAAAAACAAAACCATCAGGGCATTGCAAGGTTCAAACTGATGTTACACTGATCAAAATGTCAGTCATCTGTTGACTTTTATGTTTAAAAGAAATGAGCTTCCCAGCTGCCAAGAAGCCAGCGTCTCCTCCAGTTGACAGTCCTGCTCCTGCCTCTTCATCTTCAACTCCTTAAGTCTTGGTGTATTCAAACTGTGTATCACTGAAAGGCCTGCATGCTTACCCACTATCCTGCTCCCTGCCATTTTATTAATCCACAACTGCTGTGCTCTGTCAAATCCTTGTTTCACTTTTCAAGAATGCCTGCTCAGTGGAGAGCAGCATTTGGCGCTATGTGCCTTCCCCTACTCCATCCCACAAAGAAGGAGAAGTCACAGTTATCTGCAGTGACTGAGAGACATTTCAAGATATAATTTCATAATTTATCTAGGAGCTGCATTGTAGATAATATGTGATTTTAAATTTGCCATAACAGTTATGTTAGAAAATAGCATAAAAGTTCTCAGCTCAAAGCAGAGTGGTTCAGATTCACTGCTGGAATAAAGAAATTTCACTGTTGTTTAATAATGTTAATTATTTTAGCTCTAAAATGCACTCTCTTCTACTCAGGGCTATGTTGGTGGGAAAGTTGCTTGGCATGAGCATAGTAAAGTAATTATCTCATCCTAGCTTTCCTGAAATAACTCTTCCTGTGGACAGTTTATTTCAAAACAGGAATTCAAAGTGGAATAGTTATAATCACTTTCTTTTAAATTAAATTTTACTGATGTAGCCGCAGCAGAGGTACCTTGTAGGTGAAGCCTCAGTGTATGCTTGCAGCTCTTACAGTTTTAGGACCAAAATCCATTTGGTTGTTTTTCTCACTGATTTCCTAAGCTGTTTGTACTTTTGATTCTTGCCTTCTCAAAATTAAGAAGGCCTTGCTCTGATTAGAGTAGCTTACTCTGTAGAGTAAAATAGGTGATATTCAGTGATCTTGACATTGTAGTCTTGACATTCATCATTCTGAAGACTTTTGCCTGGCTACGAAATAATTTTTCCCTCTCTTTCTCACAAGAATAACATCAAGCTTTTGTCATTTGGTTGTTTTTTTTTTTTTTTGTTTCTTTTTTTTCCTTCCTCTGTCTAGACAGGCTCTTTAGCTAAGTGGTGTGATTTTGTTTATCTCTAATTTCAACAGCAGAGTCACATTTCCCTCCTCCCTACCTCTTGTAAATAGGGTTTTGTTTACCACTGTCTGTTCTTTTGGTGACAAAAGCCACATACTGTCATTAGTCAGCAAGCATTTCATTATGTTGCTAGAGCAGATGGAAATACAGCCTTAGGGCCTAGGAAGCAGGTCAACAGAATTTAAAACTCTTCCATCTTTCTTGTATTTTGCATGTTCCATATCCACTTCAACAGCTCTTTAGCACCAAGTTGAACAAGTGTGCGGGGTATTTACACTTATGTGTGTGATTCTTCCCTTACTTTATTAAATGACCTTATGGCTGAAGAACTTCACTGTCACTTTAGTTTGATTTATCACAGCAGGACTCCCCTTGATGGGTGAACTCCCAATGGTACATCAATAGTCTCTGGATGTGAGTAGCAGGTGGCCTGATGATTTACCATGCGTGGCAATTCTTGTCATGGTTTCTTCTCTCTGAAGAAACTCATCAGCCCAGCTTGCTGTTCCTTACTTGTCTGCCTATTCAAATATATCTTAATGGATTTAATTCAGGCTTCAAGCCTGGCAGCCCTTTGCTATCTTTTAATCTTTGCCTTCATCTAGCAATCTGTTTACAAGCCTCAGTATACCAGAGGACTTAGTGTGGGCATTATGGAGTCTTCCTTTGAAAGGCCTGAGCATTAATATGTGTATAATAAAAACAAACAAATAGAAAAATCTAGACAGATAGACAGATTTAAATGAACTATAATAATAATACAAATAAGCAAGCAGCAAGTGTTGATTTAAATTAACAATTTACACTTGGTTTCTCTCTGGACTTATTATTTTTGTAGTGCTGCTTCTTATTCATAGATACTATGTTGATTTTCAAGGTAGAAATAGCCTTTCATTAAAGTTAGAATGTATTTTGATTAATCAAGAGAATTGACTAATATACAAAATATTTAATCAAATATATCTAGTGATATATGAGAGAAATTTGCCTTGCTTTTCTTTTGCATTTTATGTCAGATAGGAAATGGTGAACGGGGTGTTGGTATTGATGCTTGAGCAGGATTAATTCTTCTGATGATCTTCATCAAGTTATATTTGGAATAAAACTGGAATTTTATTAAAATGCACAAGTAACTGCTATCTAATGTAACAATATTGAAAAGCACAGGAGAAATGTACAGGAGAAAAAAATAAGCTTATTACAACGTACTTCACATTCAAACTTGATTTTATGAAGTGGTACATTATTGTCCCTACTTTGTGCCCTGAGCTCGTTGTTTTCGATCATCCTGGTTATGTCTAAAGAGGCGTCCCTGTGAGCGCTCCTCGGCTTCTGTACCGACACCCCAGCTACAAACCCTGCCAAACCCCGCCGCAGCCACTGCCGAACCTTGCCGTGGGCCTGCCCGGGCTGAGACAGGCCTATGCCTTGCTGGGGGCAGTGCATGAACTTCGTCATCGCTCACCTGTACAGCACAGTGTGAGGTTTTAATTTTTGCAGATAGTTGCAGCTGTGGAGAATCTTTTGCTGCTATATAGGATTTTTAGGTTTATTATTAGCTTGTTGAAAGGCAACTGCTGTTGTTGTGACACACTTTGGTACAAAACTAGGACAAGGTGACCTGACATATGGATGACTTCATTGTTTTCTGAATATACATATTATCTTAATGCCTATTCATGCATTAACCCTGTGTGTATAGAAGCTGAAGGGAGTTAATGCATAGGTGGCATAACACTAACTATAATTAAGGCAGCTCCCTGAGAGAGAGGGAGATGGAGAAACCATCTGTCACAGTCTGGTCTCTCCCACGGAAGAGGACAGCACCTGTCCATATGACCCATGGGATTTAGGTGAACTAGGGAGCGGGTGCATTTGTCACCAGTGTAAAATATCAAACCACTTACAGCTTGTGATGTCTTCCCGTTCTTAGGTACAGTATACACCAGTTTTAGCAAAGAACACCTGTGTCCTCAAGAGCCTCTGTGCTCCAGAGCTGTCCTGACCGTACACAGTAACTCTTGTTGCAGGAGTACTGGAGTGAGACCTGGGCAGACGTTAGCATCCTTGCCTTGGGTTCTGCTTTCCCTGGAGCAGAAAGCTGGGTGATTGCTTGTGCAGGAGCCACAAAACGCTCCAGGAGCTCTTGCAGCCTAAACCATTGGAGGGTCGAGTCCACAGGGTTTGCTGGAACCTTGAATTGAAAGTAAATTTTTGTCAACCAGCCTCTCAAATCTTGCTTTTGATCAGAATAGGTCAGAAGAGGAAGACTAGGCTTTCCTTTTTCTTTTTTCAAATACTACTCAGTTTGACAACTTTGAGCAAATTAGTCATTAAACTGTTTGGTCCACTTTATCCACTCTCTATCTGCAAAGATTCCAGCGAGATCCTCAGCTTTTAGACTCAAGAACTGGGTTCCAGAGCCTTAGTGATGACCCTTCCTGGTTCACTGGCCTGACTTCCCTTAAAATGTCAGCAGCAAACACACTGCTTGAACATTAATAAATGCAATTTACAATATTTTGTAAAGTGTCAAAAGCTTAAGGCTTAATATAAGTGGTTATACTTTAAATAAGTATATATTTAA